AGCTTGCTTACTAAACAGTGGTTTACTTTCTAATTCTGAATAATTTCACACTAAAAAGGAAACCTCATCCTGTATGCAGTACCTAATAATATGCAAGCCTTTCTATTGGTTAAACACTTAATCTGTTTAAGCATATTATAAATTTAAAATATTTTATTTTAAAGGAGTGTGCAAAAAGAATCGCCAAGGTGTCAGCAGAAGCAAAACTGGAAATTGATGAAGAAAATTACTTAAATTCTTTCAGACCCAACCTAATGGATGTTGTCTATACATGGGCAAATGGAGCTAACTTTGCTCACATCTGCAAAATGACTGATGTCTTTGAAGGTATGTTAACCAGTTCTTCTTTAGGAGGTGTGAGATGGTAATTCCGTAACATGGAATGGTAATTCTGAATAACCTTATAATAGATCGCAAAATTTATTAACTCAGATGTATTTTAAGTATCTGCACGGCTCAAACTAGGTGGGAGAAAATTCGTTTACTATATATGTTAATTTATAGTTACACTGTTGATAATTCAGAATCTATAGAAGACTTTTTAAAAGGGATAGATCTACATTTTTAAAACTTTCTATAAAACTCAGAAATCCTAAATATTGCAACAAAAGGTAACACTTACCTTTGCTAGTTAAAAATACCATGTTCCAAATGCTTGCCATTAAGAAGTACAGCTCTTGCGCTTGTCCTCATTACAGTTAAGTGTTTTATTTACTTGGTAAATTGAAGGTTCCTCCTGCTGTCTTAATGATGACAGAAGGGAGAAGTGGTAAACAAGTCTCTGTTTTGGATGGCTCATCACAGCAGTGCAATGCAGGTATTTGAAAAGCCTAGATGTAATCTGTCACCTGGGTTAATTTGGTTCCTAAAATTGGAGTACTAGAAACTGCCCCTTGAGGAAGGATACTTACTTTTCATTATGTTAAAAGTAGGATGACTTGAAGCTGAGATACTTTGTAAAAAGACAAACCATCCACCTGAAGGTCAAACCAGAATGAAAAACCTAATTTCATCTTTTACCAGCTATGTTGGAAGTTGTGAAGAACAGTAGGATGGGTGCACCAGTCTTAGAAGTCTGTGTGTAATGACTGATACTTGAAAGTCCTTTGTCTTGCATCTCAAATGCTGTTTTCTTGTTCATATGTACACAGTTGCAAATGGGAGTCCTTAAAACAAAGGAATTCATGCGCTTCTGTAATCCCATGCATAGACCCAGGAACTTTCTAAAGCGGGTTGCCTGCGAGCAACAGGAATCCTGTCTTTGATTCTGCATTCAGCAGATTCCTCCTATTGCAGTGAATGTCTGAGCCTTGCATCTGCTGTAGAGGCACCCTGAGTAAGGGGGACGCAAAAGGAGAAGCAGTTCCTGGCTTATGTTTTTACGTTGGCACTTGACTGTTCGGAGTACACAGGGCAGAAACGTTTTCTATTTACCATATTTGGGCTACGGCTAGTCGGTCAGCTTTGCCCTAGTCAACAGTGCTAGCTCCCTCAAAATTAGATCTTATGGGCCTATTTTGAGAAGTTCAGCTCTTGTGGCAAGAGTTGATGCATGACTCTTCCCTTAACTTTTAATAGGCTGGTTTTCTGTGCATTGTCCCAAAGGAAGGACAGCACTTCAGACGTCCACTGACAGTTATGCTTACATTAAATGCAGTGTGGTATTGCTAAATCCCAGGGCAGTTTGCCCTGGTTAGCCAACTCGCTGCAGTGATTTCAAAGAAATTAAAAACCAGAACACACACACAAAAAACCCCAAAACCAAACAACAAAACGCAAACCAAAAACCACAGCGTCCTTATTTTGATCTTAAGTACAAATTTTCATTTTAGGTATTAGTGCTTCCTGTCTTAATTTCTATAGAGGTTGTTACCATGAGGTATATAGCATGATGGCTTATTAAAGCTCTGAAAGGAGGTATATCTTCCTCTTTGCCTTTTGGGCAATGTGAAATTAGCAACGAGTTGCTGCTGTTACAGAGAGTCCTAACTTTACTGTTGTGCACCAGTTTTAGTAAGGAGGCAGAAAATTGTCCAGCCATTAGAGAGTGCATTGGAAGCCACCGCTTCTTTTAAACTAGTTTTTCATCATCCCCCTCCCCCCTGCAAACTGATTAAAAGTGCTTTCTGAAAGACTGCTCTTCATGAGTGACACTAATGTTCAGTTTTGTGCTGCTATCCAGGCTACAGGCACTAGCAGAACTTTCCTAGACAGAAATCTTGAGTTGATGGCATGTTTCCACTCTCACAAGCCTAAAGATAGATGGTGTTCTGCTATTTTATTAGTATTGATGGTCAAGTGTCTGAAACCCCTTTTGGGTGCAGTTACGAGTAGTGTGAAAGCTTGTAGTTGTCCTAAGTAAATGGCTGCCTTTTCAGGTTGCAGCATAAGCCCTAGTGCTCCAAGAGCAAGCATGCTTGCCACAGATTGGAGCAATGTTGATTGGCTAATGAACATGAGTTGTCATTAAGCTGAAATGTGTGTGTTGGGAAGAAATAGAAATTAGAGAAGCTTTTTAAAGCTGTAGGGAAGAATGATAAACTGAGCTAAGTATCCTATTAATCAATTGCAGATTGACTGTTTTGTTTTGTGGAAGTAAGTATAGACAATAGTAATTTATTCCAAAAATGCAATATTTTTCTTGCACAAAAAAAGTATGTCTGCAACAACCCCAGCTACACTGCCTGTAAATGAGTACTCCCTGGAATGGTTGTCAGGGTTGGCCTTGTAAATGAAGACGAGTATAATCTTTGAGAGCTGAGCTGGGGCCTGCCACAACGCAATGTGGCCGTGCTTGGAGGAGCTGCCCGTGCTTCTCTTGCTTTGGCTTTGTGCTTTGTGTCCAATAGAATACATACGGGTTTTTTCACCTCATGTCATTGCAATAGGTTTTACAGACAGCTGCCCTCACACAACCTATACTTACTGTATAAACTCACATGGCCTACTAGTCCCATATGAATGTTTTTTAGAAGAGAAGTGTTATTTTACTAACTTCTCACTTTCCCAACAGCTTTGTAGAATGTTCTTTTCATATGGACAGTTTTTCTCCAGATACTGTGCCTTGTCTAGAGCTACTATTTTATTGAACCATAGAAATGTCATCTAGTCCAACCCCCCTGCCGTGGGCAGGGACATCTTCAACTAGATCAGGTTGCTCAGAGCCCCGTCCAACCTGACCTTGAATGTTTCCAGGGATGGGGCATCCACCACCTCTCTGGGAAACCTGTGCCAGTGTTTCACCATCCTCAGCGTAAAAAACTTCTTCCTTATATGTAGTCTGAATCTACCCCCCTTTAGTTTAAAACCATTCCCCCCTTGTCCTATTGCTACAGACCCTGCTAAAAAGTCTGTACCCATCTTTCTTATAAGCCCCCTTTAAGTACTGAAAGGCCACAATAACGTCTTCCCAGAGCCATCTCTTCTCTAGGCTGAACAACCCCAACTCTCTCAGCCTTTCCTCGTAGGAGAGGCGTTCCATCCCTCTGATCACTTTTGTGGCCCTCCTCTGGACCCACTCCCAACTCCTCTTTGCTATACTGAGGGCTCCAGAGCTGGACACAGTACTCCAGGTGGGGTCTCACCAGAGCAGAGTAGAGGGGCAGAATCACCTCCCTCGACCTGCTGGCCACGCTGCTTTTGATGCAGCCCAGGATACGACTGGCTGCCTGGGCTGTGAGCGCACATTGCCGGTTCATGTCCAGCTTTTCATCCACCGGTACCCCCAAGTCCTTCTCAGCAGGGCTGCTCTCAATCCCTTCATCGCATATTTGCCCTGTGACAGTTATTTTGCATACAGTAATTTTGACTGTAGGTGTGAGATGATGCTGGAGGAAATGACCAAACAGCATACTGGTTGCATGCTACTTAGAAGAGTGTTAGGGTCATTTTGTGAAACTTGTTACAGTAACTTGGGCTGAGCAGTGAAGCAAGTTAAAAGAGGAGATGAAGTTACAGTGTAGGAGCTATGTCAAGACCGAGCTTGTATGCGTTACTGTAGGCATGCAATTGAGTGGTCCATAGACTCTGAATGGCACAGGAGTAGTAAGGTAGACAGACTGCTTACTGGTCTCTCTGGCTCTGTCAACTAAAGAACTAAGGGCTATCAAAAAAATAAAAAAATAAACACAGCCACCACCCCAAAACCTATCTGTGGCAGTTCTTGAAGCAGCAAACTTGTGAATCATCTCCAAAACCTGTAATGTTTTTGAGGGAAGTCTTAACAAATACTCGAAAGAAAAATCCACTAGGAATTACTAAACAGCCCAGAAAGTCCCCTGACTAGATATTAGTTAGAGGCTGTGAAGATAGAAGAAAACAAGAACAGGACAAGCATTTGGACATAGCTTCAAGGAAATGGCCAATGGAGAAGTTTACTGTTAAACAGAAACCAAGCTTAAGACATAGGGCTGTTCTTACCCTTGGCTTCTAGATAAATTGAACAGGGTTGGAGAAGGAACTATTGCTTTGGTCCAGAGTGGGCTCAAGCAACTGAATTATTCAGTGACATGATATGGGAGGGTGATAACAAAGTTTTCCCTCACTCTTTTTATACAGGTAGCATAATTCGTTGTATGAGAAGGCTAGAAGAATTGCTTCGGCAGATGTGCCAGGCTGCAAAAGCCATTGGAAACACAGAGTTGGAAAATAAGTTTGCAGAGGGTATGTATTTCACTTCCACAGTAGAAGTAATTCTAGAAAGCGGGGGGGGCAGGCAGGCTAGGGCAGGGTGTGGGTGAATGATTTGGTAGTATAAGCTTCTGGTATTGACTTCATGGTAAACAGCATCATTGCTCTCTTTCCAGATAACATCTATGTTATAAAGTTTGACTTAAAGAGGTAGTGTTTTGATGCATACTGACAGTTTAACGAAGTTTGTGACTGAAAATGGATGTACAATGACTTCCATTTAAGACTTGTAATACTTTGCAGTAAAGGAAGTGTTACATGCCTGTAACTGTACTTAAAATAGTGATTGTGTTAGTTATGACTGCTGGATATTAATACGGTTTTCCTTTTTAATAGGGATTACAAAAATCAAGAGAGATATTGTGTTCGCTGCAAGCCTTTACCTGTAACAGAAGATACCTTTTAAAAACAGTACTAGATGCACATTATGGAACAAGTTCATCAGCTTCACATGCTACTTCCATCTCAAGTCATTATTTCTTTTAATGGTGTGTATTTAAACCACAGTTGTTTCAACAAGGCATGTACAAACAGCAGTGTATGTAATATAACTGTTACCATGTTTTCAATAAAAATTTACAATTTGAATAGCTTTTTTCTTTGAAGCAAGAGCTTGAACCAACAGAAATTTAGATACACAATAACTGTGGTAGATGTTACTATATACAGGTAAAGTGAGCATCCGAGAGCAGCAGCAAGTCCCTTAAAGGTATTTACTTATATTACATAGTTAGACATATTTCATAGTTATGAAATTGTTTTCCTTTCAGAGAGCAAGAGAGGTGAGGTGGGTCGTTCTTCATGGTTGATGATTGCTGCCAAAGTGATTTCCGTTTGTGTTGTATGGGAATCTTCTTTCGGTTGAAATGTACATACTCTCACTTTGAAGAAGTCAGACACATACACAACCTAAGTGAACAAATTAGTGTTAAGCTTGCAAGTCTTTGAAACAATGGGTAAATGCTTTTGCAGAAGGTAATTTCCATGATCAAAACTAATAAAAGTTTAAGCAGATTAAAACATTAGAAAATTGCTAGGAAGTCTTGTATAAAATTCTGGCATCTGTTCTTCCAATAGCTTTTTCTCCAGCTATTCCCACCGCCACCACTGACCACTTAGCCACTGATGGTTTAAGCCAAATTCAAGGCTTGCGTACTAACTAATTGCTCTAATTGCTTTATCAGGCACTGCTTCATTACAATAGCCATAGTTTGAACAACTCTAAATGAAGGGGCAAGATACACTTGCTGAGGGCCCATATCGCATGAATGGTTAAATTTATTCTGTAATCTATTTAGAACAGGACAGGACAGCTTGTGCTTTAGCTGAGGAAGAGGGTTCAATAGTTAGTAACTGTTACTCTAACTTGCATTTCTTTAAAAGCTGGTTAAACCAAGCTTGGATTCCTCTCCTTGGCAAGGTTCACAGCAGCTACCTCCCCAATACATGTGTCTCACCCACAGCTCCAGCAGCTGTAAGGCCAACTCTGCCTACATTATCCACTCCTGCATTCCTTTGAACACACCACCTCAATTCCTTCACAGCTACTGACTACGAGACAGGTGCCTTGATTTGATTCTGCAGCTTCCTCTCTTCCCTCTGCCCACTTCGAGTCATACTAGTAGATGTGCTGGATCTAGTGCTGCATGAAGTGCAATAAATGATCCCTTCCTTTCTTACATCACCTCTTCCCCTCCCAGTGCAAGCCTGAGAACTGCAGAACACAAGCTAGGGCAGTGGAAGAAGCCATCTTCCACAGAGGGCTGGATGATGACCCAGCATGCTGCTTCAGGTGCATACCAGATGAGTTCCAGCTTCCACTTAATGCTGAATGCACTCAATTTAGTGCTCCACTTGCAGTTGCTGCCCCAGCATGCTCTTACCTCAGCTTTCTGTTTCTGCAGGTGAACTCTTCAGTTCTTTCAGATAAGGGTTTTGTTTAGGGGTTTTTGTTTTTTAAAATAATTTCCTCACCTTTCAACTCTGTTCACTGTAATGCCACCTTCTAGTCATTCTTGTATTGCCAAGCATCTCCAAGATACCCTCTCAATCATCTAACACCTTTCACTAAACTTGTTTTCCTAATAAAGGTGCCCTCAGCTCTTCAATCCGTGATGTTTCTCATTCCCTCCACTCCTTTTCTTAGAAAATGAGATTGTAAAAAATGAAGGGTAGGATTATGTTTCAGTCAACATGCAGCCATTTAGTAACAGCTAATGCAGTATGTAGGGTTTCCCAGAGCTGCTCCAAGATTTGTTCTGATGATTGATTGCAATAAGTAGACAAAGCTTTGTCTTGAAACAAAGCATACCTTTCTGACTTTCAGCTGAGAAAGCATTTATCTTGGAGGTGGTTCTTCCAGGTGAGCCTCAGTGCTTGGTATTCAGTATGAGCTCAATTAGCTCATGTCTCTGAAACAGAAGTCTCTGGTCTGTCCCTTCCCATGGATGAATCAAGCATGGCACTCTGGTGACAGCCAGCACAACTGCTGCCACTAAGTCAATCAGGTCTGCAGCTCTAAGTTTAGCTGATTCTCTGTTCCTTGGAATAGCTTTTCACTCATCAATACAGCTAAGCTTCACATGCTGGGTGTTGTGAATACCCTTTTAGCACCCAAAATGCATGCAAGAAATGAAGGGGTTTAGTTTCCCACCAGACTGAAAAAAAACAGGCTGTATAAGCTGGCAGAGGCAGACACTTTCATGCTGTCCTTATCCTTAAAGGCCTTTTTTTGCCCTGCTTACCTCGTACACAGTTCTCCTCTGCTATGGTACTTGAGATTTAGAATTTGGCTAGAAGCAAAAGGTATAGTTACATAGAGGCCCACACAGTTTTGCAGTTGACCATTTCCATCTTGGTTATTTGAAAAGCTCTCGGGCAGGGACAACTTCATGTCGTCTAACAGCTGAAACAGACACTTTTCTCATCATTGGCCCAGAGTCTGCTGCACACCCCTGAAGTACTATTGCTACACCCAGCTCAAGGAGTTGTTTCCCCCTCCAGCAATTTTCAAAGCATTAGGAAGACAGGTCTGCTTTCCTCTGAACACAGCCTGCAATTCTAAGGAGCTGTTTATAAAAGCAGCATTTACACCCATACCCACCCCTCAGGAATTACTTACAATGAGCACAGCTACCACTGCTCCCTGAATGAGTCCTGTTAAAACATCACTCCAGTGATGCTTGTAATCAGAAACACGTGAGAGACCCACATAGATAGATGCAGCAATAAGACCAAATTGTAGGGTAGGACGTACAAGTCTTGCCCAGTCTCCTTTCATTCTGGCCTGAAGGTAAAGCTAAAAGGAAAAGAAAAATAGTTATAAAATGCAGTAAATAACAGAAGCAGTAATCATGTAAAATTGTGTTGGGTCTGTTCAAAGAGTTGAGTTGAAATTCGTGTTCAGAGACATCTGATAATGTCCACAGATGTCCCAAGAGCTGTACTCTCACAAGTATGCTAAGATGAAGTTTGATAGTGTTGGTCTATGTTTTATATAAAACTACATAACACCATCATATAGATACTTGCTGTATTTGTACCAATGTGACAAATTACTATTTTCATTGTAAAGGTACTGGTAATACCAGAGCCACTTAAGGCTTAGAAAGAATCCAGTGGAAGTCAAACCAGTATTTTACTCCTGCATTAACTACAGGTAAGTCTTATTAAAAAAAAGCTGGCAACCATCCAAATTTACAGTCCTCCACATAGAGGGAGCCCCATCTTGCTCTGAGCAGGAAGACCATTAACATCTTAGTAACATATTCTATACCTAGAGCTGCCAAGTTCTTAACTTTATTCTCAGTCCCAGTCACCTTTAGTATTATCAACTTTTAGCATAATATTCCAGCTGTAGTTAAGCGTCAGAACTAACTTGATATGATTGATAACATGTAGGATCACATTCCTCAGTTGTCACTGGTGTATTTCACTGAGCTCCATCTGTTCCTAGTCCTTTTTTAGCTCCAGACTGACCATGTTAATGGTTACCACTGGTTACCACTCTGGTAAGCAAGTGCATATGTGCAGTTCCCATGCTTTTTCTCTTCCCTCAGCTCTATTTGTGTTGTGTGTATCTATGTTTTTGATGTGTTATCTCAAATTCACATATTTAACTCATTACTTTCCCATCTAATTTAAGACCCTGCTTTTGTCTCCTCTGGTCTGTCTAGGACAGAGACCTCTTATTTCAGCTATAAGAGGAGCTTCTCAAAATCCACCCTGTGAACATAATTGAATTTATTCTGGAACTTCATCCTGTCACCAAAGAAGGCACCATAGTTACCGTATTTACAAAGAACAATGCAGTTGGAAGTTATATTTAACATTTCAAGTATATCTTCTCAGTACCATCTGGGAACTCCAGGTCGAGTACAAAACCTTGACTGACGGTCTTGTGAATCATAGAAGCTAACTAAAACACAGGCTTCAGGCACTAAGATGGCACACTAAACTTCTGGTAAATGCCTCCATTGCCAACTTCAAAAGCCATGGCTACCTTTTAGAAGCATTATATTTACAATGTAAATACAGGCATAGAGCATGCACTGTAGATGCAAAGGTGCTACTTTCCAGAGTTAAACATTTGGGGAATGTTTGGTTGGTTTCTCTGAGTAACTGGCATCATAATTTTGGCATGCTGACTTTTTCAGCTGTAAATGAGGCATCAAAAATATCAACCCTATCCATAACCAGTGTTCTTTAATAGCAAGATCAGGGTGGAATCAGACTGAAGAAGCTACAGCTAAGCCTGAGCTGGAAAATAATTTCAACCCCCCCTCAAGTGGTGGGCACTGCTTATTTCTGGGGACCTTAATTTCACCACTAGGGAAAATACCGTTTAGCCACTTCGAAAATTAGCTGTCACAGTTCTTTTAACAAAAGGTGTTCTAATGGTCTTATACTAACACTACTTCTGGATTTACCAACAGTAGACCAGAACACCACCTGAGTGCCAGATGGAGCAGAGGTGGGTCCAAGGAGCACATGCTAGTAGCCTAAGAAGAGCTGGCTGATGATTCAATACTGGCTGTTCTCTCCTCTTTTCCTCTTCCCCCTTTTTTTCCCACTAAATTCTGCTTAAGTCAGCTAAAAATACCTTCCTGTAAAAGCTTTTTCCATGTAAGGATTTCTGGTAGTTGGCAAAGATGTATAGTCATATTAGAAAGAAAAAGGGTTATGCAGCTGCAGATAGGTGGGAAACCAGGTTTACTTCTGAACAGAGGAAGAAAATGAGGCAAGCCACACAAAAAGCAAACATGGAAAGATGTCAGCCCACAACACCAAATGACCAATAAAATAGACCTTGAATCTCCCTTACACAGCATGTATTCAGATTTTCTTTCTGCTTGACAAAGCATCAAACAAGAAACTTGGATTTATATATATTGTTATATATAACATCTACGTGAAGACTTAATTTCTGTACTAAGAGAGTAAACTCCAGTCATAGAGTAGATCTGGAGCTGCTTTATCACCTGCAGAACACATGCAGTTGGCTACAGGCTTCATCAATTCTAGGCACTTCTTCACACGACCAACTCTATTAGCTGTGCAGGAAATGCCTAAAGCCCTTCTTCCACCTTCTACCAGCAGATGGATTTATATTATTCTAAAACTAGGTGTGAGAAGGGCGAGAAATCATACCACAGATAAGCATCAGTGTGACTGATCACTGCTGTGTTTAATTTCAGACGTAGCAGCTGTTCTTCTGGTTACAATTGTTTTTTTCTGTTATGTTTTTGCTCAGTTGAGAGTAATCACTTAGTAACCAGCTGCTGCAACGGCAAATGCCATGTTATTTTTAAGCAGGTTAACTTCAAACTGACACTGCTTTTAATAGGCTCAGGCAGTCATGCTCCCCCGCAGAAGATTCTTCCTACTACTATGACTCTTAGAAAGACAAAAGCGACATGTCCAGGCTGAAACAGGCCAGCAGGACTGCACAGGAAAATAAAGCAGCCAAAGAGAGGAAGGAGCTTTTGCCTTATAATTTCATTAAATATAACCAAAGTTGATACCAGAAGTATGCCCAAGAGTCCTTTATATAGTATTAGTCCTTACATAGCATTACATGCACAATATAGAGATGTCCTGGTGTTACGCTGCATTAACACTTACTACTATTTTGACCCTGTTGACTAATGTAAGGCAATGACTTCAGACTGTTTACAGAACCCCTCCCGATATGCAAAGCATGCCCTCAGGATCTTTTGCTCCTCTTTGAAGTCATTTACAGCAGAGGCTTAAAGAAGGGAAACAGAAGCAAATCCCTGCCTGTCTCCCCACTGAAGTCTCTTCGCTAGAAAGGAGTAACTTTACGAGCAAAACTTGTAATCTACGAAAGCAGCAGGAACTTCAGGAAACATCATCTGGTTACTACTACTGTAATGCCCCTTACCAGCATTTCACCTGCTGCTGAGAAATACATTTGTGAGCCTGTGAACACAGCAGGAGCATCCAGAGCTGTTCTGGCAGCAACGCGCTCCTATCAGTGACAGCTATTTGACCATGCTAGCTTCCCTCCTATCCTGTTTCTAAGCATCTGTCTCATCGTTCAATAATATCATTCAGCTATGACCCATTTCTCTTCACTCCTCCATCCTGCCCTTTCTCATGTTGGTTTTGTTCGTTCTTCTTAAAATGCACAAGTAGATTTCATAGAAACTTTCTTGTAATGGGATTAAATAATCTCCAATTTTTTTTCCCCTACTAGCTAGTGCTCACTCTATAATGAAAGTATGTTCTCTACACCACACACATCCTGAACACAAGTTTCTTAATCTACGGTCTAGTACTTCATTTCTAAAAATACACACAGGAATGAAGAGAAACTCACAGCCACTTTGTGGCTTCTTGCAAGAAGCCACAGACATGAATGGAAGGGTCTCTGCAACTGGAGAATTATTTGCTACTCTTAATGTTTCTAGCATAGCTTTCAAGTATTTGCTCTTCCACCAAAGCAGTATTAAGATACATATACACATGCCTGCCTACCCGATTTTAAAAAATAGTGACTTTTATTTCCTAGATGGACTTTTGGAGGTGTAACCATGCGGCTTCACAAGAAAATTTCCTAACAGCTAACATCTCACATACCCACCTTAAGGGCACAAAATTCTTTTAAATCCACCAGAACCTACTCACTCCACTAACTGAGGTCATATTTCTGATATTTAGTTTCAATACTTAAAACTCCTTGGTCATTTTTCATTCAATACCTTCTCAGCTTTTTTCCAAATTCCTATTACACAAAAATTCTGTACTGCAAAATCTTTTGCCTATTAAGGTACGGGAAATCCTCCTGCACTTTCAGTCCTCCTTCAAGAATGGAAGTCAAAAGGAAAAAATTTTGGGGGTTTTTCCCCCACCCAGGAAGAGTTTTACTTGCACCAATTGATTTGTTCTGTCACTTTTTGAAAGTGGATTTTCTTCAACAGCATTTTGTGTTCCCTGATATCAAAAGGCCCTAGTAATCGCATTTCCTACAGGTGTCCTGTGCTGTCCTAAGGAACAGAAGCACACTTTCCCTTTGGAGATGTACCTATTTTTCCTCTTATTTTTATTTATCTCCTCAATCTTAACATACTCACAGCATCATGAACTTAATAGCAAAACAGAGAGAGAATATGGCTTTCCTAGAGAGAAAACTCCCCTGTGACACAGGGAAATGAGAACACTTCTCAATTTGTCCAAGTACAAGTAGTAAGAGTCTGGAAGAGAAACAAAGGTGCAGAAAGTCAGTTTTCTTATGAAAAAAGCCCTACTTTGAGAGACCATAGTAGTCAATACAAGTTTTGGAAGGGAGCAAGTAAATGGCATTGACTTTACTTAGCTTAGCATTTACCATTAGTCATGTCTAACTTTGGTTTCATGATATCTGCCTAAGCATTAAGAAAAACCGCTATGGCATTACTGTTTGTTCGGAACGGGCACAAGATCCTACTGCAGTTACAATCAGTGTTTGGATCCATTATTGACTACAGTTAGAAAAGCTCATACTTCAAAGCAAATCTGCTGACCCAAAAAGCCTCAAGAGCCATGAACAGTAATCAGTGCTTGTGGAAATCCACCATAAGGATTCTTCCCAAACCAAGCAGCTCTGAAACAGTAATGCATAAGCTGCCTCAAGTGTGTGTACAAATGTAAGTGGTTGGCTTTGGGATTTCTGGGGTGGAGGGAGGGGATATGTAGGTACTGTGTTTTGGTGGTTTTGTTAATGAAGCAGGGGTGGAAGAAGGGAGGCACCAGTGTTTGAAATTCTTCAGAAAAACCAGCCTCAGAGTAACTAATATG